AACTTGTTCCTGGCTCAGTAAGGACTTGTCTAGACTAGGGTGAAAAAGTCTTCCCCCTCCACTGAGTTAGCTTAATTGGTATTTTAATAGATTTAAGGTAGATCAGTTGGGGAAGGTAAAAGAACTGCTCTTTTTAGTCTAGCAAAATCCAAAGACTGTGCTCTTCCACCTACCCCTTCTTTTCTGTGCTCCTTTCCCCAAATCCACATAGCTGCTCTAGATACTTTCAGAGGTAGAGTTGAAGGGAAAAAATTACTTACCTACTTGTAAAAGTAAGTTTCTTATTGATCTCTGCCGTGCTAAAAGGTTGCTTATGACAAAATCTTACTGTCATTCAGACTAATGGCTTTTGATCTCTTCTTGCCACTGTTCACCACCATTTATCTCTGCAAAACAATTGATGAATGAATTTGATTTGCATCTAAAGATGCAGCCCATCATCAGGAACGTTTGATTTTTGTTCTAATGTGCTCATTAGCGGAGGTTAAAATCTTGAGTGCTGAGCACAGCTATCTTTGAGAAACAGTTGTCTTAAAACATGAAGCTTTCTTTTCCTGATAGCTCAAATTTATTTGAACAAATTGCAATATCATCCGAATTGACTACCAAACAATGTGTGGGTTTTTTGACATCCTTATCCCCAATTCCTAAGCAGGAAATCAAACTCCCTTTTTTCTGATCTGTTATCTGTATACATCTAGACAATTTAATGGATTAGTGCTGAATTTACACCACTGTACCTGAGAAGAATTGGCTTTTGGTGTTAGACAACTGTACTGGAGTATAGCCTTGCAACAGAATTTGAAATAAGTTTGTTTGGTTTTGCAGTTTTCATTTAAAATGTAGCAAGTGTCTGATGGCAAAATGTTGTGCAAAAGTGGGTTTTGATGGTCAGCGGAGAGGCTCAGGAAAACTGCCAGTATTGAAGAACAAGCTGCACTAGTAGCCCAATAGGCATTGTTGTCAATTTGCAGGGAATCCTGGTGTCTAATGTGTTGCCACTGCAGCTAGGTTTTACAGTATAACCTTGGCAGAGGCTGTATCTAGAAACCAGCGGCCTGCTCTGTACTTTACCAGTTCCACGTGAAAACACTTGCTATCTTGCCTTGCTTTATCCAGCCCACTCTTTCAAAGAAAATGCATTCTTAGAGAGGGTCCTGATCAGAGACTGTCAATTTTTAAATGTTCTATAGAGACTGGTTATGCCTCATACCACGTTCTCTTATGAAAAGCAACTCCAAATTGCTTGTAGTAGAAATGCCAAAAACAGCGCTTACCTTTAGGTTTTTAAAAACATTTTCTATTAGTAGTTCCATGCAGAATGATAACACTTGTAATCAGACATACAGGTCAGGATGAGCATCTTTAGTGTCTAGAGCTCTAGCAGCATGAGTAAAAGATACAGAGAGGGGTGGCAAATGTTACAGTATCTAGGTCTTAAGTGTGTGCGTTTGAGATGGGACATTTCAAATGAATCCTGATAGAATCTATGTTCCATATATGCCACTTCTCTTGGAACTATTTTAGGAATTTTTACTTAAATTTTACTGGTATTATATTTTTGGATCTTGTCCGTAACTGTAGTTGCCATGAACTGAATTGTGTGGGGTTCTGAGGAAGCCATAAACTTCCTTAACTCTTCTCCCTCCTCCTTCTGAAGTAATAGGTCTGCTGCCTGCACCTGCTCCGAATGCGTGTTTCCACTGGTGCAGCCGTGCCAGTGCTGGATCAAAGATGGGAGAGTAGTCTTAGTCTAAGGTTCCACAGGTTCAGTTATCATGTGGCATTCTAGTAGCTTTCCAATGTTCTATATAGTCTTTCAGGAAACACTGTAGACAGACTTGAATATGTAATGTGTGTGTGTGTATAGTGATCTTAATAATCAATACAAAATCTCATCGCCTTTATAATTCAGGCAGAAATACCATCAAAATAACCAGAAACCCAATGCTTTTCTTTGGAAGTCATCTCTAAAACAGAATGGAGATTTAATTTTCTCTCATTGGGTTCAGTGTTGCTGGTGTCTGAAGAGATGAGATGTAACTTGCTCTAGCAATGCTACTGCTGCTACCTAGCAGAAGGCTTATAAATGTCAAGTGTCTGTAGAGGCAGTGCTAGTCAATTTGGGGTGTTGCCCCCCTTCCCACAACACATAATAAGTGAATGGGGGTGGGAGGGGGTTCCCTTGAGCTGCTCAGGGCCTTAAGCAATTGCTTAGTCTGTTTCTGCCTAGTGCCAGTTCTGGGTGTCTACAAGCTGAGTGAGGGCTCTTCTAAGAACTTCAGTTTGTTCAGGGTTAAAAAGTGCACCTGACTCTTCTAGCTTTTATATTGCTTGGCTGAAAAGAAAAGGCAATAAACACCATTAGGACCTTCTCTGGAGTGGGGGAGGGAAGTATCTTGACCAACCAACACAACTTTAAAGAGATCAAAATCGTTTATCCTATAAGCTAGCACAGATTTAATCAGCATTTAATTAAAACAGTCAGCCAAAAATTGTTTTTTACTTCTTCTGAGTCCTGGGTCATAATGTGTATCTGATGGTGTATATAACACAAAATGCCTGTGTGTCTTGCTTTTCTGTAAAAACATCTGTATTTTGGAAACCAATACAGTTGCTATAGCCGTCCAAATGGCTACCCTGAGCTTCTGAGTTAACAGCACTGATCTGGACTGAGCAAAAACATGGAAGTGAGAACTGCAGTTAACTGGCGCTGTGTGTGTGTGTGTGTCTCTCTCCCCCTTCCCACCCCTTTTTTCCCCCTTTAACATCATGTTAAATAGACTTTTATTACCTCTATATATTACATAATTACTGAATAGCCAATACTTAATCTGAAATGTGTGTAGGACAGTATCCTGAATATTTAATACAAAATCAAAAATTAGGATAATTTAAAACTGAATGCTTGAAAAGCATTTTAAGCAGAATTAGGAAAGGCTGTTCAGGTCATCCTGGCCTATTTACATCTTAGTACTTCAGGCACTAATTGCCACGATGTTAGCTGCTTTTCTTTAGAATGATTCAGTGTAGATTTTTTGTTTGTTGTTTTAGTCCAAACAGTTTTCCTTGACTAACCAAGTTTGCACAGTGGATTTGTGTGTGTGTGTGTATGTGTGTGTGGAATGAAATGGCTTTTGACTGTCTGCTGGAATATTTAACTTTGATGGGGAGAGAGATAGTTAGTAGGGTTGGCTTAATAGTGCTGCAAATATTAGATGAAGCTTCATCTTCCCTTTTTTTTAAGTGGGTAATTTCAGTTGTTAAATACAATACACAATACTTACTGCAAGGATTTTTGGGGGGAGAGGAAAAGGGGAACACTGTGCCTTGTTGCTTTGGCTAGCGATGTGTCCAATAAATTGTTCAAGTCTTGCAAATCGCATCCTCTGCCTCCTGTGAATAGTCTCTGCTGGTTCTTTTTTTTTTAAATATATGAGAGAAACTCAACAGTGGAATTGTGTTCAGTGCCCCAAAAACTACAGTCAGGAGCAGTGAGCCATGTCTAAAGTGGTTTTTCCATAGTGTACTTAAGGTTAGCAGCTGACCTTAGAACCTGCATCTCTGAATTTCTTTGTTGCTCATCTCTGAGAAGTATCATGTGAAAGCAGAACTCTTCAGTGATCATCAATCTCCATATCTAGTTTAGGGGCCAGATTGGGGTGGAATCGGGGGAACGTGGTGGTCTTCTTCCAGTCTACACAAAACAAGCTCAACTTATGGCTTCTAGAATGAAGTGCTACTCACAGTAGGTTGTGCATATGCTTAAAATATGACTCGGAAAGGCACGAACGTGTCCCATGGTTTGGCTAGTTTCCTAGGCTTGCCACCTCCTTGATTTGGAGGTGAAGTAATTGTATCTGATACACTGCTCACCGGTGGCATCAAAATGACATCAGTCAGTAAATTGTGCAGGTCTAGGACCCTCTTTCTTCTTTGTTGCATAAGGAAATAAATTGCTGACATTTAAAATTGTGATCACTAGTTAATTTCCCACTGAGACGAATGGGACAGTTCACAACTCTCCGCTATGGTTCTGGGCTTTCTGCTGACTCCTCTCTGCATCTGTTGCATTTGGCTCACATTTCTGAGTCTGTCTTCACGACAATAACAGCTAGAGATGTGGTTGCGGGGGGGCGGGGGTGTTTGGTGTGTGGGGGTTTTGTGTGTGTGTGTGTGTGTGTGTGTTTAAATGTATGCTGAAATTCTGAAGAACAGAGACGCCGTGGTAGCAGTTTCTGAGCCCTGCCCCTAGCTGTTCTAGGTTTTGTTTTTAACCTAATACCATAGAGGAATAGGAGGAAATGCGGGTGTTTCCAAGTTCAAAATTTAGGTGGTGCATTGTGGTGGTACTTGTTGTTTAAGGGCATTTGTGAAAATGTCCCCTTGTGCTTTACTTTGGCTATTGGACTGTTTACTGACTTGCAGGCATTCTCCTTGAAGTGCTGCTGCGGGCCATGTTCAATTGTGTGCTATTATTTGGGGTACTGGAGCTGGTATCGCTGATTATACCTTCACTTTTTAAGAACGTACTGAATGTTAAAGAGCTTTGAATGGCTTGTGGAATTGGTTGGATGCAAGTCTGACTGCAAAAATCATTAAGCTCAGTGGGACATTGCTCCATCAGACCCAGTGGCAAGAACAGCAACTGTTGGGAGGGTGGTGATGAAGAAGCATGCAACCTTGGAGTTCTGCTCTTGTTCAAGGAGAATGTGATAGAGAGGGTGGCAGGAGAAGAGGCTGAAATTCTGACCATCTTTGTGGCCAGAGAGAGAGAATTGGTAGGAAATAATTTAGTCTCCTCAATGGTTGCAGTACATCTGTGTATACATAGCAACTAGTAATATAGCAGCAGCCTTTTGTGTAGTAACGGGCATTTTCAGTAGATCCATGCATTGTTCTGTAGCAGGATTTTTCTCATTTCAGTGTAATCCATTTTGTGTGCCCTCTTGAAATGCCAAAAACTAATGTTGTGACCTCTGTTTCTGTTCATTCATTAGCATTAAATTTCACATGCACCAGTCCAGTTTCAAGGCAGAGCAAGATCTGGGGATTTACTTGCTTTTTTAGATCTACCATTCCTCTCCAATCTTGAATCAGCAAACATAACTAGTTAAAGGTAAGCGGCAAACACTATTGCTTACATAATTTTTTTTATCAAGAATTTTCAGTGTCTTAAAATTAACAGTTTAACAACCTGCGCTTGCTATCAACAACAATTAGAATAAGATTTTTAGTTTGTAGTAGTATTAGTAGACTAAAAATAATCTTTCAGAACAATTCTTTTTTTTTTATTAAAAGGTTGATGTCCCTCTAGCCAGCATATTCTGCAGGTTGGTTTATACTTTCCATTCTGTCTCCTAAATGGAGGACTCTTGCATGCTCATAACTGCTAGAAAAACCATGTATTGTTCCTTGTATCTTGCATAGCAGATATGGTAACTGAGTGTGTGGCAGTCACTTGATAGTGTGCAATTTAGATTATAAACCAGTTTAAGTTGTCTTTCTCTTCTCTTCTCCCCGCCCCCCAGTTGCTCATATCCTTAGATAGTTTAAAAAAACAAAACTAAACTTTTGGGTGAAATGTTGCATACCTGATCTGGCCAAAAAGTCAACTTTGAGGAGTATATCCTTTTACTGACTTTATTTTTGAACTATGTAAGACGAGGGGAATGTTTTTATTGAAAAAATCTATTGTATGTAAATCTCAAATGGCTAAACTGTGAAATTTGGCATATAAATAGTACTTGGCTGTGGATTTACTCCAAGGTAAGATCTTGGGGGGCAAGAGGGGAATTGGTTGGCTAATAAAGCTATTAAGCGGCTGAAATTGTTTGAGTTGCTGAAGATCAAAGACGTTGAAGTCGCCTTTGTAACGAAGCTGCAGGCTTTCTGCCCAGCCTAAAATGCAGAGGTTTGTGGCTGCTCATAGGTCCGTTTGCGTAGAAGAGGCAATATAGAGAGTTGTCCTCTCTCCCCCGCCAAAAATGGTTCCTTAAAAGGAACAAGAAAATACTGTGAATAATAGTGGCAAACCCACAAGAGATGCAGAATCCACATTGTAGAGAAAAAATCACATGTTCTAAGCTTTCACTTAAAAATGAAATCCGTTTTAAAGATACGGCTGTTTCAAAGGGAACAGATGTGCTGTTTGTTGTGTCCAGGCACTGTAGAGAACTATGCAATGGCTGCAATGTGAACTACCATCTCCTCTCACCTCATTCATCTTTGTGACCATTTAGATGCTAACATTCAGCATGGGCAACTTCCTCTGACTCTATAAATTAAATGCACAGAACTGTAATGCAAGGTAGAGGTTGCACAGTTTAAAAATCAAAGCTGAGAAACAGGAATGCTTACATTCCTAAAGCAATGTTAACTAGGCCCTATTGCACTTCCTGTGTATCTGTGGTCTAAATTGAATAGAACAAACAAATGCATTAAGCATCATATTCAAGAAAAACAAACAGAAAATGAGTTAATGTTGCTATAGGAACCTTTCCCATTTTCTGACTTTTAAATTTAACTGCAATTTCAGTGTTTCATAAGTAAAAGCAAAAATATAAATGAACCTTTTTGTACCCTTTGGCTGAACATAATCAGGTTAGCCAAAATCATTATGTACCTACATTTTGTGATATTGCCATTGGTTGCTCAAGTGTTAGCACCAAAAACTAGTGACCAGTTAGTAAACCTCTGACTCGGCTAATAGGTTTGGCTTGCCCTGTGTAAATCTCCTTTCCTCTCTTATGTGAGAACCTATTTACCTGAAAAGTTGCACTGGTTTAAAGGAGTGACTTTTAAAAACGTACTTTGTTAAACTGGTGCAAAAAGCTGTGGACACTTAAGACACTAGACTTATTTCAGGTTAATTTAAATTGACAAGGAATAGATTGAAACTAAAGTGACTATACAGTGGCTTGCACTGGTTTAACTACACTGATTTTCCCCCCAACCCCAATCAGACCTTCAGTTAAACTACAACAACTGCTGTATGTAGACATGGCCTTAGATGTTGCTAGTTTGTATTTGTTCTGGCTTCATAGTTAAGCGCAGTTAAACTTCATTCTGATGCTCGTTCTATACCTTTATTAATTGGCTTACCCTCAGCACATGATCTAAGTCTGAATGCACAACAGCAAAAGAAATCACCGTAATTTCAATAAACTTGTCTGTACATTATATTCAAAAGGTAGCACTGGTGTTGAACTTCTGAACGCTGTCGAGCATAATGATACAAATAAGAAAGGAAAGGCTTGTGTGCTGAAGATATTGTGCCCAACCCTCTTCTTTTCCAGAAGAAATCTGTATTTTTTTTTTTTTTTTTTTTAAACAAAGTGTGGCTTAAAGTGCTAGTAACTCTGCATTTAAATGCACGGCAAGATGGTAGATCTTTTAGTCTGTCATGCATGGTGTTATTTCTGTGGATTGAAGAACCTTTTTTTTAAAAAAAGCTCCTATGAAATGAAGTTATACATTGACTTATAAAAGGGGTTATTAAAAAGGGAATTGGGGAATACATACTGGAGTTTCTGACCAGTACTATGCTTGCAGGAAACTGATACTTAATCCAGCAAACAAATGAAAATATTTGATATAGTGATTCAACATGGGTGATCTACTGAGAGAACTTTCACCGGAGAGTTTTGCACAAGATGGGCATGCCCCTGCTTGATCCCCAGTATGGGCAAACAAGCAGTGAAGAAAAATAAAGAGCACTTACCTATATCACTAAATAGTGAGCTTTGGTATGTCTCTGACTGGGGAATCCCCCCACAATTTGACCTAGCCCAGGGAGGGATTGCACTCACTCTTCCATGAACCAGGAGAAAACTGAACCTGTGGCAAGTGGAGCAGAGGAAGGGGTAATCTAAGTGAAATTGCTCAAAAACAAAAAAGGCTAATAATTAGGGCCCTACCCAATTCACAGTCCATTTTGGTCAATTTCATGGTTATAGGATTTTAAAAATCATAAATTACATGATTTCAGCTATTTACGTCTGAAATTTCATGGTGGTGTAATGGTAGGGATCCTGACCCAAAAAGGAGTTGGGAGGCGTCACAAGGTTATTGCGGGGGGTGGTGTGTGTGTGTGTGTGTGTGTGTTGCGGTACTGCTATCCTTACTTCTCCGCTGCTGCTGGCAGTGGTGCTGCCTAAAGCTGGAGAGCGGCAGCTGCTGGTTGGGAGCCCACTCTGAAGGCAGAACTGCCACCAGCAGCAGCGCAGAAGTCAGGGTGGCATGGTATGATATTGCCACCCTTACTTCTGTGCTGCTACTGGCGGGACACTGCCTTCAGAGCTAGGTACCTGACCAGCAGCCGCTTCTTTGTCCTCCCAGTTCTGAAGACAGCAGCACAGAAGTAAATGTGGCAATACCGTGACCCCCCTGCAACTCCCTTTTGGGTCAGGACCCCCAATTTGAGAAACACTGGTCTCCCCCATGAAATCTGTACAGTATAGGGTAAAAGCACACAACACCAGATTTCACAGTCTGCAGTATGGTTTTCATGGGCATCAATCTGGTAGGGGCCTACTAATGATGAAGTGCCTGGTGACTGGCTGCAGTAGGTCCTCTCCACCTCCCAATACAAAGCCGTGGAAGGAGAACCGAGGTAAACAAATGGTCACTGGGCTATTGACATAGCACTAAGGGACTCTCAAGCCCTATTCCCTTGACCAGCAGCCCATGTCTCTTATGCCCTATTAGCAGAGGCTTAACCGTATGCTCCTTTATGGGGAATCTTCCCCATCCACTGGGTCATACATACTCTGGTTGCCTCAGGGTACCTCTAGGTCACAGTCTTCCTTCATCCAACTGACTTCAAGTTCCATTACAGACTTCTTGGGAGTCTGATACCTTGCACAGGGATCAAGGGCTTGCCCTCTGACTTGATGGAGGCACTGAAGAAGTAGCAGCCTCTTGTGGGAAGTGAAGGTTCATTTTCCATGGAGGTAAACACCGCTGGCTGTTCAGTGAATTCATCAGGCCATCTCCGATATCCATATTCTTCGCTGATTAGGGATAGGAGGGTACATGTAAAAGCCATAGAAAAGGGCAGGAACCTTGCTGCTTCCAGAAGAAGGGGGCAAAAAAAAGCCCCATCCCTCTCTTAAGATCAGAATTAATCTTTCAAACGCTGACCCAATCCAGGGATTCTATCCACAGTACTTGTTTCGGAGTCTTATTCAGCTGGAATCCAGTGGAACCCAAGCACTTGGCAACACCTTGGATTTCATTTGAAAAACAAAAAAACTGAAACAAGAGCTTATACTCCTTTCTCCTGGGAGGAATGCCAGCTGTCAAAGTAGGAGGGACAGGAGAATAATGCAGAGAAACCTGTTCCTTCAGGAATACTCAGCCATAAGAAGGCCCAGCAAAACCCAGGCATTGTGTGACAAAGGATGGCTTATTGGACCGCTGATTGACTTCTAGCTCATTAGAGTTGCAATACAGTCATGTGGATTCATGGATTCCCGCTGAAGCACCTGGCATTCGCCACTCTCAGAAGGCAGGATACTGGGATAGATAGACCTTTGTATGGCCAAAGAGGCAACTTCCTCACAAAGTGTTCCTTCTGCTGCATTCACTCACTTCACTTAACTAATCCTTTCATGGGCACACTTTGTTCAACTTCCTACCAAGAATGGGAAAGTCTTGTGGGCTGAGAGTAAGCCTTTAGATAACCCTGGCTGCATTGTTTGTCCCAGATGTGTCTCTAGATGGTTTTTCTCTCAGCCGTGGCTGTGATCAGCGAGCCAGGAATAGCAGTGGCTGTGTTCCTGGAAAGCAGCCATTCAAACAAAGCAACTCCTGGCAGCCTCGGAATATACTTGAAGAAAACCTTTGGAAAACTGATGGCTGGAATCTTGGAGGGAACTGAACTAAAGCTTACTATCTACGAGACTGTATACAAGGTTCCAAGCCAAACTACAAGGTGAAGCAATCCTCCGGAGGCTGTTCTGTGAGCAATAGTGTACCAACACAGCTGAGCAAGATGGAACTACTAAGGGAAAACCTATTCTGGGGAGACATCTTTGGAAGTCTCCCCATCAAACCACAGAAACTCAGTACACTTGCTCAGAATTGGAGTCTCAACTGGGTTGCAGGCTCCTTTTCATCAAACAGGTAACAGATGCGTATTCAGTACAAGTAAATGGAATACATATCTGTGGTTTCTTAAAGGACAGTCTCCTCCAGGCACCAATCAAAAACAAGGTCAAAGTGGACACCTGTGGGCAGCTGGCAATACATGTACTTCAGGCACATGACTTTTGATGATAAAGACTTCGCTCATAGCTGTCAAAGAGTAATTCATATGTGGGTGCAGGTA